ATGCACATACGGGAAGTAGAAGCTTTTTGAGGCGAGCTCCAATATAAACGTTTATGATGATATCGGGATCTATAATCAGTATTACGCTGGAAGTGAAAGTTGTTGAGTTACGTATTGACCAGGATGTGGTTTGCTCGGGCTCCCCCACCCCCTCCTGGCTTACAGTTAAACAGTTTGTCACAAAAAATTGCGCACAAACTGAACACGATACGTTTCCATTCGAAGATGTTATTATATATATGTACATAGCAGGGAGGGATGACAGCCCTTGGGGGTAACTTGATACAGAACTGTTTCGGGCTTATTTGCCTTAATTCAGCCAAACATAACCCTAAACACCAGTTGGGTTGGACGGCGCAGCTTATCATTATGATCGGTAAAACTCAATTGATCAAAACACTACTATCAAATATCGTCATTTTAGTTTATATTCTCCCTCGTAAAATTGTTTTTAGTCCTACAATGGTTTTTCTGATTATAGGATTCCTTAAACGATATTGGCTTGTCATGAAACTGTAGAGCAAGGCCACCCGTTCTACACGAATTGCAGAATTTGTGACTCACTCCACTAAGCGACCATGCGCCAAGACCCACCGCTGCTAATGGGTGCGCCTGCACTGAAGGTGGCCTCTTGAACAGCCAATCACAGACGCCACAAAGCTGCTCTCGTCCGGCGGCGAATAAGACTTACAAACTGACACCTGTCTGTGGCCGCTGGCATGCTTGCTGTTAACCCCGCACTTAAGACCCGGCTAACCTCCTAGCTGGTCGTGCGCACCAAAGCCAAACTGCTTCCTGCTTATTCTCCGTTCCTCTGTATACAGAATAAACTATTCATACTACTCTGGCCTACAACGACCTCTTCTCTCCTTAGGAACTATGGTCTGAAAGTCGCGGTTGCTAAGGTTTTAAATTACTTAACCCCCTACGATCAACTCTTTGGAAAGGAAACGTTGTGTTCCTAACTAATCAAAGAAGAACAACATTGTATTTGCACTGTGTGGGTGGTTGAAAAGCCGTCCTCAAAATTTGAGTACTTGGACAAATAGACCTTTAAACTTACCGGTGACTTTACCAGAAACTCCACTGGGTCCTTGCTGCGTTTCACATGTCGTCTAGTCAGTGTGGTCGTGTACCGTCCACTGCTGTCGTCTCGTCCAAGACCGGTCTGAAGGGAGGACCAGCGAGCGATTGGTGGGCCGCCCACCTGATGATTCATTGTTGTTCGATATTGAGACGAAGTATAGGTCTCCTCTCGACCCATGCGATTCAGATCATTTAGCAGTCCGTCAATTTCAGCACCGAGACGTCCCCGGGTCTCTGAGTGGGTGCGTCCATGACGGCCGTCCAGTGTGTTGTAGCTCTGATTAACTGAAACAAACAATGATGGTGGGAAAAACAGTTTGTTATCCAATTTAAGTGTTACGTGCAAGTCTACATTATTTTAATTAAATAGAATGGTCCACCGGCAAGGTTTAATTGAAAATTTGAGTTCAGTTCAGTTGACCCAATTGTGAATAATTTGGGGTTACCCTCTGAAATATCATCATTATTTCTAAATTGGACAGTATACTCTCAGTTCCAAAAAGGCTGTAGAATACAAAAATTGTACAGACTTCGCATTACGAATAGAAGCGAATATGCGTGCCCCAGGTTCTTGTTGTAAAGAAGAAGAAGACGCGATCTCTGAAACGATAATTTTATTCTAAGCTTTCGGCTCCAAACGAGAAGCCATCGTCAGAGTTAATGAGAAAACAGCAAGCGTGAGCTACGCATAAATGGGGTTGGTAGGGTGGGTGGCAATCATTGATTGGTCCCTGTCCACGCCACGTCCACTCTCACGCTATCTTATATTGTCTCCGACGCGCGTCCCTGAAGTAACGGCGTGTGACCTTGACATGGTAGCCTCCATGCTTGTAGAGGAATTGGGCCCTGGTTTCTGGTCACGGGCACGGATGGCAAAAGAACAGGACGGTATATCCACATGCCTGTTTATAGAGTTAGGATCTGACACCCAGGCCTCCAGCAGTTCGCGT